TTTCAATTGTGCTATTCAAGAATAGAATGGCTGCTTATGAGGTTATGGGTCCTTCTTCACTAGGGATCCTTAAGTCAAAGCTGGGTGACCATATTGTATATATTGTATTATATCTATATATGTAGATAGATTGATAGATAGATAGACAGACAGACAGACACATACATACATATATACATACATAGAATGTAGAAATATTGTAGAGACAATTCCTATCCAGGGACTTGTTGAATTAGATGACTTCTACAGCACCTTCCACCTATGAAATTGACAGGCAGGGAATTGGCCAGTCAACAATTATGTACTAGATACTGTGCTAAGGGCTAGGTATACAAAGAAAAACAAAACATAGTCTTTGCCTTCAGGGAGCTCACATTTTAATAGGGTGGAGTTGTTGTTTCTCCTTCATTCTCGAAGAGGACTATGACATCAGAGAGGTGATGCCATGATATGCAAGTGAATTGGATTTAAGTGAGAGAGAGTTGTGCAAAGTCACCTCGCAGAAAGTAAGTCAGCCTTACTTTCTCTTCCAGAGACATCTGGGTCCAATGGCCAGATATAGATCAGGACAACTGGAGATTGCCCAGGATGCAATGGGGGACCTTGGCCTTTTTAAACTAAAGTCTTTGTCAGGTCTCATTTTCACAGAGGCAATGCCCATTCGGTAACTCAATAGGGTGGAGGGACAATATGCAAAAAGAAAAAATTATATGACAAAATATTTACAGAGCAAATGGAAAGTAATCTGAGAGGGAAGGCACTAACAGTAGTGGGGACTGGGAAAGGCCTTCCATAGAGGGTGGAATTTGAACAGAGGCTTGAAGAATGCCAGAGAGACCAGAAATTGAAAGCGAGAAGGGAAGGCATTACAGGCATGAGGAATTGTTAGTGCAAAGGCACTAAGATAGATGATGTGGTGTCTGAAACAGAAAGGTTCATTGGACAAGTCCAAAGTGTTCAGTGCAAGGTTCTCAATGAAAGGCCTGCTGTACCATACACAGTAAGTCCTGGCTAGAAAAGCAGCTGATTAGAAAACGGCCAAGTGCAGAAGAAATTTTGAACCAGGCATTGGCGTACATTGGGAGAACTATTTGCTCCCAAGCAGGTGTTTATGTTGTACTGCCCAGGATAAATTATCCTTTCTATCCCACCTGATGGCATTTAATTACCAACCAGACAACTCTTGATAATAGGATAAGATAAAATTCATGTCCTGAACACTGGAATTTCAAAACCTAGAAAATAAGGAAAATGGGGCTAATAAGAGGATTTGCCCCTCAAAGTGTATCTCTATTAGAGAAACAGCATGGTGTAGTAGAGAGACTAGGAGTTAGAAGTGGTCACTTAAAAGAGGGAGGAGATTTGTTCTGTTTGGCCCCAAGGGCAGAACCGGGAGTGATACATAGAAACTTCAAAAATACAAATTTAAGCTTAAGGAAGGAATAAGTTACACCTAGCTGACTTATAAATGAGAAAGATTTCCTCCTCTGATATTCTCAACCATACAATAGCTGGCTTCCGATATTTGAAGGGCTGTTACATGGAAAAGGGATGAAATTTATTCAGCTTGGCCTCAGAGGGCAGAACTAAGAACAATGGGTGGAACACAATCTCTGGGATCCCTTCTAACTCTTGAGATTTCTGTGATTCTGTTACTTATCAACAATAATATGTGAACAAATACTTTGAGCCATCAGGGAAGAAAGTAAAAGAGTAGAGCATAGTACAAAAACTAATAACCTGAGAGTCCAGTGACTTGATCTCCTCTTCATTCTGCCACTAACTAGATATATAATTGGACCAAATCACTTCTCCCCTTGGCCTCAGTTTCCTCATACTGACACAGATTATCATTTTCCATACAATTTACAACAATAGAAAATTGTCTAGGGGCACTGACAGACTAAGCAATATAGTCAGGATTGCACAGCCAGTCTGAGTCAGAGATTCTGGAAAACTTTTCCAGTTTCTGGGGCTCCCAGGTGGTCATGATGGGTCACATAGGTGAGCTTTCACCTCATCTTGCCAGGGCCCCGGGCCTCCACTTTCCAACCTCTCCATTTCTCCTCCTCTTCCTTTCCAGCATTCCATTCTATGTTTTCTTCACCTATTAAAAAGTGCTTTACCTGAGAGTCTACGTGGCAGAGCAAAGAAAGAAAGGTGCCAAAAATTGTACTTTATATATATATATATAAAATGGACAGGTTAGATGAACTCATTTTTAGCTCTGAGTCAATGAAAATGCTCATACAGAGCATTAGGCATACAGCCTAATGAATATCATTTTTAAAAATTGTTAATGAGGGGGTGTCATATTTCTGTACTCTGGAAACTCCACTAGCTAAAGAAAGGAAAGCTTTGTGAAATCCAAAGAGATGTGTCTTGCCCTCCCCACTCTTTTACTTTTACACCATCATTGACACACCCATAAAAAGGAAATCCTCTGACTCTCAATCAATTGCCCTCCCAGAGAGGCCAGCTAGGCAAACATGCCCCACATCCCTCAAAAGCTGGAGAATAGAAAGCCAATCAGCTTAGTATTAGCCCCAGTGCTGCATTAGAAGTCATCTGGGCCTAATCAGGAATTAATGTACAGCATTTGGTAGTAATTTAATTTCCGTAATAAACCTAATGAGCAATTTAATACAAGAGCCCAAAAGGAATTGGCTGCTACTGTCTGAGCCCCTTTCTTTCTTCACAACCCCACCCAGGTTCCTTTTCAGGTCATCTTGTCACCAGTGAACATTTTCTACAGTATAATAAGTAGAAAATAGTAATGAAAACATTAATAATAATGACTCACATTTCTATCATGTTCTTTTGAGGTTTTCAAAGTACTTGTTCACAAAAGTAAGTATAAGTGGTACTGCTAGCAGCTAGGTGGCACAGTGGATAGTGCACTGAACCTGGGAAGACCCAAGTTCAAATCTGACCTCAGACACATACTAGCTGTGTGACTCTGGTCAAGTCACTTAACTTTTGTCTGCCTCAGTTCCTTCAACTGTAAAATGGGAATAATAATAGCACCTGCCTCCTACAGTTATTGTGAGGATCCAATGAGATAATATTTGCAAAGCACTATATAAATGTAACTATCATTACTGTTGTTATTATAGTATCATATGTTATTACATTGTTATTATCTGCCTTGTATCATCTCCATTTTACAGATACAGAGATTTAGACTCAGAATGGTTAATGATTGTCCCAGTATTACACAGTTAGCAAGTATCAAAAGTAAGATTACTCAAACAGGTCTTCTTTAATCAGTGATTTTCTTTTCACTTTGGGTGCTTTTTTGAGGGGCAAGGGAGAGAGAAGTAAAGTGGGGATGATATGAATCAGCCCAGTGATGTCATCCAACTAGGAAGTTCCCAGTGAGGAATTTCCTCAACTGACACAGATTATCATTTTCCATACAATTTACAACATTAGAGAACTGTCTAGGGGCACTGACAGACTAAGCAATGTAGTCAGGATTGCACAGCCAGTCTGAGTCAGAGATTCTGGAAAACTTTTCCGGTTTCTGGGGCTCCCAGGTGGTCATGATGGGTCACATAGGTGAGCTTTCACCTCATCTTGCCAGAGCCCCGGGCCTCCACTTTCCGGCCTCTCCATTTCTCCTCCTTTTCCTTTCCAGCATTCCATTCTGTGTTTTCTTCATCTATTAGAATATAATCATCCTGAGGGCAGGGACTGCCTTTCTTGTTTTTGTTGGTATGCCCAGCATTTAGCACAATGCCTGGTCTATAGTAAGCATTTAATAAGTGCTTTACCTGAGAGTCTACGTGGCAGAGCAAAGAAAGAAAGGTGCCAAAAATTGTTTATGGCCTGGATTTTTTATTTATCTCAACTCCCCTTAGTCTAAGCTTTAAAGGCTATCATAGGTGCAGTAAGCAGGTTAGCATTCACTCAGAGATTTTGTTCAATACTTCCTATGTGTGTTCAATACTTCATATGTTGGGGTATCTTGCATCTGTAAGCTGGACCAACAGGCAAGCACCAGGTTCTAGAGTGTTCTAAAACCTAACACAGGTAAATCAATATAAATGCAGTCTGAAGGTCAAAATGAGTGACTTGGGGATTAGCTGCATTACTGTTCTGTTCAGGCAGCATGGATAATTGAGAGTGACTAATTACTCATTTTGGTAACAATGCAGCCTCCTGCTGCTGTGTTTGCAAACACTGCATAGAGAATGAAATGGTGATATACACAAAGGACGGTGAAATATCAAATCAATTAAGAAAATGCTTTATAAAGTACATGGAAGCCAAAATTCCAGTCATTTTGCACAGCATCTGATATTACTGAGCCACTTTTTTTTATGTTTAGTATACATCTCCACATTAAGACCAGTTCTAACAACAAGTAATTGTTCTGGATTTAATAAGAGTGATTCTCAGAATATTATGCATACCTCCTAGTAGCCAAGCACCAGCTAGTTTTGCCTATAAATCCATTCCTAGCTTATTCAGAGAAAATATTCCAGAAGACTAGGGCAGATCGTAAATGACTTGGATAATTAAAGCAGGAAAAATAACAGCAAGAAGAAAATAAGAACACTTGGACTGGATTTGGGAGAGAGTTATGAACAAATCCAAGTGTTTTGGACTTAAGTATCATGTCCATTCTCCTTTCCTTATTGATTTATTATGCTAATAATAGTGTCTATCTCTCAGTATTGTAGTGAGAATTAAATGAGATATTTGTAAAGTGCACGACACAGTGCCTTGCACATAGTAGGCACTTAACATATACTTATTTCCTTCCTTCCTTCCTATTAGATATCTCTCCAAGAGGTACTTAATTCTTCCATCATTGTAAATCACCCAAAAAGTTCTCCAGGTGGGCGTTATTTCAAGTTAGGGAAGGCTCAGAAGTCTAAAAGAGGGATCTCACAAGATCATCTCTCTCTCTCTCTCTCTCTCTCTCTCTCTCTCTCTCTCTCTCTCTCTCTCTCTCTCTCTCTCTCTCTCTCTCTTTCTCTCTCTCTCTGCAGATGCAAAAAATATTTAAGACACTTCCAGGATTCAAAGAAATCCATGTTTTAGGATTTAGGTGAGTATGAAAATCTAACTCTCTCATTTAGTATTTTCCTGACCTTTTTTTTTTTAAAGCTATATCAATACAAAACTTGCATTATTCATTCCAAGGTTTCGCTTTCAGTTCTATCCTAAAAATAAGATGCATTCTAGATAGTTGGATTTTCAAAGATGAACATGAGTCTGGGTCATTTTTAAATGAACTGAGTTCCTTCTGCCCTGAGGAAATCACTTCTTCATCTATACTTTTCAACCATGATTTGCTGGCAATGTTCTTAATGATCCTCCTATAAAACTGGCTCTTATGAGATGGATCAAATAAGGATATAAAGGCCTCTTTGGCCTGTAGCTTAGAGAATGACCATGCAACCAGCTTTCCCAAATCCCATACAAGAATACCACCATCTGTAAGTCCCACCAGGCAGAAGGAAAGGATGAAACTATCTTCCAACTACCCTCACCATCAGCATTCTGGCACATGAACCTACAGCTGATGAAAGCAGCCTTGTTTTTATCCATTAGTATCAAAACACGCTAATGTGGTGGGTGGCTTTTGGCAAGACTTTTTAAAACCATTCATTATGCCAAACATCCATCTCACACCCCCAGATGGGTTCACAATTGGCTATTTTAAAAATCCACAGAAGGTTTATAATTCAGCTCCAACATGAGCAGAAAATGATTCTCTGTATCTAAGGTTAACGACAGGGAGCAGAGAGATGAGGGTACAGCTAAAGTTTCTTCTTGGCATACTCATTATCTATTTTTTAAAGCCACGGGATACACCGAGTCAGCAGGAATAAGACAACCTCATAAATAGTTTTCTGTGTGTGTTCGCTTGGTTGGTTTATTTCTTTCTAAGTTTCCATGCCCTACTGATTTGTGTAACTTCTAGAGAGGGAAATATTAAAAAGTGAACATAATAAACAGTGAAATCCTTAATATTGACAGAAGTAGACTCATTTGTCTTCATTTCACAATGCTAGTCTGTAGCAGTTCACATGAAATTATATGTATGAAACTAAAATTAAAATGGAAAGAATAAAATTCTGAATATAGGCAAGTTGTCTCTAGAAAAGCTCTGCAGTGAAATTAGCAGATTTTTTATTTAAAGTTGTTATGGATGACATAATAAGAAGGAACTTCATAGTGAACTCAGATATATTGAAGTTGCTAAGATCATCTTCAAGTAAATGAAAAATATCATCAAAATAAAGAATTAATAGATAATAGTAATTAGCATTTATACAACACATTATGGCATCATGATATATAGTGAATAGAGCTCCAATCTTGGAATCTTTGAAATAGACTACCTGAGTTATCCTAGAAAACACCACTTAACCTCTCATTTTCTTGGCAAAGTCTCTGTAAGTTACAGAAAAGTTGACAATCTGCATTGATGGACAGAGTTTCCATGTCAAGAGTTCCTTGCACCATGAAATCACAGACCCAATACACACACATACATATTTACACACACACACATATATATGTATACATACATACATACATACACATACACAAAGGCACAGGGTATTCTAAAAGTTTTAGTGCAAATTTAAACTTTAATAGCTTAAACCTTAATATCTTTAAATTACACTGAGACTTTTGGAACACCCTGTGAGTAGAGGGAGAGAAACAGAGAAAGAAAATGCATGAGAGCATTTTAGAGTTTGAGAAACACTTCATATACACTATCTCCTTTGATCTTCAAACCAAGTCAGGTATTACAATAAGCCTAGCACTCTATTCATTATGCCACCTAGCTGCCTTGAAAAATCAAAGAATGAAAGAAAAAACTTAAATATCAAATTAATATATATACACATTAGTCTACAACTTCCTCCTATGGGTTAAAGTCTTTCTAAGGACTAGATATGCTTCCTTAAATAGGTTATACAATAAATGCAAAGATTTTCCCCGTGACTACAGCTATTTTAAAACTTTGTGTGACAAACATTTTAAGTCATGTACTTAGAAAATGATAATTTTCTCTTAATTAATAACACTAAAAGAAGATATAAAAACATTAACAGTAAGCTCACTCCTTCATTGATGCTCAGTCCTTATTCAGGTCAAGGGCATGACCCTGACTTTTCAAAGGCTTTGCCAGTGTAGCACAAGCTCTGAACTATTAATATTGGCCCCTTAATGGACTACATACCTATAATGTTCAGGCCAGGTCCTACCATCTGCCAAGGCAGCTTGGGACTGAATGTCTGCTGTCCAAAGACCAGCCTCACTAATTCCACAGAATCTCACTCCATCACTAGGTTGCCCACAAACTGATGAATTTTTCAAGAACAGTATCCCAAAAAAACTAATTCAATAAGGGCTTGTATTTGTGAAGGAAGAAGCCATATTGATGAAATCATAGTTCATAGGATCACTGATTTAGAGCTGGACGAGGACCTGAGAGGCCTTCTAGCCTACCCTCTCACTTTACAGATAAAGAAAATGAAGCAGAGATTTTAAGTGATTTGACCAAAAATATGCAGGTGGCAGATCTGGGACCCAGACCCAGATCATCTGACTCCAAAAGCATTCTCTTGGCTTCAGATCCAAGAGAGGTATACATCATGTAAGTTTCTTAGTACTTTAAATGTAGAACATTCCATTAATTTCATTTTCTAGTATCATTAACTATTTTTTTCCAAACCCCAAGCTTATAAACTGAAAGGTACTAATCTCGTACTTAGCATTTCATTCCCTACTGATGTCCGTTAATTGTGAAAATGCTATCTCAGTCAATCTATTCATTTGGTATCCTTTGTAAGTTCTTTCTCTAGCAAAGAAAAAAAACGATCTTGCTTCCTTTTATTTGTGCTCCCACGCTGAATTGGAGTGAAAGCATCCTTTTCACTGGATTATCAAAATCCTTCCAATATTGTTTCTGCAGACTCAGATAACTTCATACTAGGTTTCCTTTGAGCATGATAAGCCCATATTCCATAATTATTCACTGAAAAGGAATAGAAGTTTCAGTTATGCCTGAAAATGAGGCCATGGGAATTATTTCATCACTCCCTCATCTGCTGAAAAACTGTAGTCAGCAGCAGAGTTAGGCTTCTCTCACAAAACAAGCCAGACAGACCCTCAAGTCTGTAATCAGGAGGCAGACTTCCCAGGAGAACAGGCTACTGTCATTTGTTCCCCTCAATGGAAATAAGTAAAAGTACATATTACTCCCCAGACCACTGAACAGGTCTGACCATATCACTCCACCATAAACTCCAGTGGCTCTCCAATAGATCTTCAAGGATCAAATTTAAATCCTGTTTGACTTTTAAAGCCCTTCACCAATTGACCCCTTCCTACCTTTCTAATCCTCATCTACCTTTCCCATGTCTACTACCTACTATACTATCCAGCAACACTAGCCTTCTCATCGTTTCTCACACATGACACTCAATCTTCAAGTTCTACTCATTTGCATTGGCTGTCCCCCAGTGCCTAGAATGCTCTCTCTTCTCACCTCCATCTCCTGGCTTCCCTTACTTCCTTCAGATTCTACCTTCAGCAAGAGGCCTTTCCTAGTCTCACTCCCACTCCCCATAATACTCCTCTGAGACTGTTGTTGTTATTCATTTATTTCAGTCATGTCTGACTCATCATGACCCTATTTAGGATTTTCTTGGTAAAGATAGTAGAGTAGTTTGCCATTTCCTTTTCCAGATCATTATACAGATAAAGAAACTGAGCAAAAAGAGTTAAATGACTTGCCCAGGATAACACAGCTAGTAAGTGTCTGAGCCCATATTTGAACTCAGGAATATGAGTCTTCCTGACTCCAATCCTGACACTCTATCCACTGCACCACCTAGCTGCCCCTAATCTCTTAAATATCTTCTAGGCATAATTTTTTGCAGATCTTCTCCAATTAGAATGGGAGCTCCTTGAGGACAGGGACCATGTTTTTGCCTTTCTTTGTATCCACAGCCCTTAGAACAGTTCCCAGCACATAATAGGTGTTTAATAAATGTTCATTGACTGACTTGCTAGACAAATGATCCATCGTCCTGGGGTGGGGGGAGAGGCATTTCCGTCCCCGTGCAGCAACCCTCATTACTACTATAGATGTTCTCTTGAGAGTACTGAGAGAAGGAAAGTTGGGTTAATTGGGTTAGCTTTAGTCCTTTCTCACCACTGCATGAAAGGTACCGACTAAGAGCCAAGTTGTTTAGTACATTCTACTCATAAAGTACTGAGCTGTTAATCCCTTAATATCTAACATAGTCTTTTCTCATCTCCGTCTGTCATTTGAGATACAAAGGGGTAAACTGTATGTGTCTTCTAGACTGAATGGCCATAAATGGCCAGAGTGATTTAAGTGAAATCATCAGTCTCATTGTCCATCCTTTAGGAGTTAGTAGGAACTGAGTACAGGGCTCATGTTCATGGTCAGTACACACACTCTACCTAATTCTGCTGATTGAAGAAGAAAAATAAAATGATAGGAAATGGCAAATAGTTATTCCTACAGTGAGGCTGAAGTGTGAAAAATTACTCTGGAAACAAACTGCTCACTGTATCAAATCATAAAATCTTATAGTGGAACATGACCCAGATCAGGAACTCAACCATTTTTATATCATGGACTCTTTTAGCAGTCTGGTGAAGCCTGTAGACCCTTTCTCAGAATAATATTTTTAAATCCATAAAATGAAATATATAGGATGATGATGGAAACTTTATTGAAATACAGTAATTTTTTTTTTAAAAATTAAGTTCACAGACCCAAGGTTAAGAACACCTGTTCTAAACCAACCTTTCCCTCAAGAGGAATCTCTTCTATAATATCTCAGACAAGTGGTCATACAGCCTCTGCTTTAAGACTTCCAGTAACAGAGAACTCAAGGGCAGCTAGCTGGTGCAGTAGATAGCATGCCAAGCCTAGAGTCAGGAAGACCTGAGTTCAAGTCCAGCCTCAGACACTTACTAACTGGGTGATCTGGCAAGTCATTAAACCCTCTTTGCCCCAGTTTCCTCATCTGTAAAATGAACTGGAAAAGGAATGGCAAACCACTCCAATATCTTTGCCACAAAAACCCCAAATAGGGTCATGAAGAGTCAGACATGACTGAAATCACAGAACAACAAAACAGAGAACTCACTACTACCTTGATACTCCATCTCAACCCTGAGAACCCATTCCATTTTTGGACAATTCTAGTTGTGGGAAAGTTTATCTTTATATCTAGCCAAAATCTATCTTCCTAATTATTCCACCATTACTCCTAATTATGCCCTCTGGGGCCAAACAGAGCACATTTAATTCATTTTCCATATCGTATATTTAATCCATCATATATTTAGAATCATAAATAATAGCTAGAAGGGATTTCAGAGTCTATCTCATTCAAACCTTTCATTTTACAGACAAGGAAGCTGAGGTCCTAGAAGATTAAGGGCCTTGGCCAAGGTCACCCAGGTAGTTCGTGTCAGAGGCAGTATTGGAGCCCAGGTTTTCTGACTCCATCACCAGCCCTCTTTCCATGCTGTCTCCCTTAAAGGCAGTTATGATTTCACCTCTTAGTCATCTCTTCTCCAGGCTAAACATGCCCAGTTCCCTTCAGCTGATACTCATATGACATGGTCTCTAGTGCCCTCACCATCCTGGTTGTATATGCTCTGTATATGCTTCAGCTTATTAATGTCATTTCCCAATATGTGGTACTCAAAATTGAACCCTATACTATTATGTTGTCTGAAAAGGACAGTGTAAAGTAGGATTATCACCCCACCCTCCTTTTGGATACTATACTTCTATTAATTAGCCTAAGTCTACATTTGGTTTTTGCACTTTTTTGGGAGGGGGAGGGCATGGGACAGTTTCCAAAGGTCACAGTATTAACTTATATTAAGTTTGCAGTACACTAGAAATCCCAGATCCTTTTCACATGAAGTATTAGTTCAATCAATAAACATTTATTAAGTACCAATGGTGTGTCAGGTGCTGTACTATTGTTGGGCTCCATTCTACAGAGTTGATTGTTGGAAGTTAAGTGTAGAACACAAAGAGGCTTTCCAGAACACCAGTAACCAGTGTTGTACTAGTATATGTTTAACAATCAGCTCTCTGGGGAGGGGGGAGGGGAGAAGTACATACACTCAAATTTAATCTTCATTATTAAAATTTTCTCTGTCACTTTCTTAAATCAAGATAATCAGCAAAACAAATAGAGCCTCAATTTGTAGTAATTACTAATTTCCAAGGTGCAAATGCTGACATTGAAAATTAACAACTGGCTCTCTTGAGCCATATATTCCTGATAATAATCAATTTAATAAATGGTTTCATTTCTCTACAAGATGCTACTGGGATGCCCCTTCTTGGAAAAACTGCAATAGGATTACCCATAATGCATGCTGTAGAGAACAACTTTGTGGCATCTGCCAATATATAGTAGGAAAGCAGGCAGAAAAGGAATTCTCTTTCTTTTGGAAAGAAAAACACATCAGACATAAGTAGTATATATATGTATATAAGTATATATATATATGTATAAGTATATATGTAAGTATATATATACTGACACAGGCTCAGGTACAATTCAGAATCCACAGGACGAATCACAGAAGGGACCTTGTAGGTCAGCTAGGCTAACCTTCCTTCACTTCACAAATAAGGAAACTGAGACTCAAAGAGGGAAAGTAACTTTTCCAGTTATACAGATAAGCAAACAGCAGAGCCAGGATTTGAATCCAGGTCATCTGCCTATAAATCCAGTGTTCATTCTATGACCCTTATTGGACTCTTCACTTTTATCATGCAGTTTCATGTTATTCTCAGAACCTCTCCTTAAAGGCTAAAGACCATGAGTGTCTTTCCCTTATGAAGCCAAGACAGAGATGACAGATAATAAGAGAACTATATGCATGTATGGAATGTTCATTCATCAATCTGCATAGCTCACACAAATATTCTTCTTTCCTCTTCACATGTTCCCACTTGGGGATGATGAACTGAAGACCGAAGAAGGAAAGAGATGGGTAATTTGCATTCTTTCTTTTGCTTTTAGAAACCCAGGAGATTCATTTGTTCAACATACATTTACTGAGGACCAGTTCGGTAGAGGGCACTATGTTGGATGCTAGGGACACACACACAAAAGTTAAATGCCTGCCCCCTAGGAGCTTGTGTTCTACTTAAGCAGTTTCCTAACAAATCTATACCCTGAACCAGTAAAGTAAGCCAGCCTTTATTTCAGGTGTAATATCTGAGTAAGCTAGTGATTCGTTAATATTTTCTTTACAAGCTGAAGAAGTCACTTAATTCTATCACTGGCATGGGTTGGGGGAGGGAATTTTTAGCCTAAAAACATTCCCTTATAGAAGGTAAACAGGCAAATTGCACCAGTGAATCAATCCAACCATCAATCAATAAGCATTTATTAAGCACCTATTGCATGCTGGGCACTGGGTTAAGCATTGAGAATACGAAGACAAAATTGAAAGTCTGCCTTCAAAGAGTTTATATTCTAATGGGGCATTTATTCTAATGTATCTAACGGGCTAAAAATTACCCTATAAAACTTAAGGTCTGTTGAAAAATGTATGTCATTGTGGAATACCATGCTTGAAAAGGGCATCTGTGGTATAGGAAGCTGTCCATGTGCACCTATAGATATGCACCCTGAATTTGGAGTAGTGCAGACACTAATTTGCTATTTCTATTCCAAGGTCAGTTTAAACTGTGAAAAAAAAACCTACTCTGTCTTGGAGAGCTCTAGAACAAACAACGAGTTCCTATAATTGACTAGTAAAATAATTAACTATAGAATCTTGTCTCATGTTTTGTTTAAGCTCCCCTTCCTCAGATATCTACTTTTGGTTTTCTATGAGAGCTAAGCTAAAGAGAACCAATCAGCATGAAAGTCAGAGTTCTCCTTTTTTTTCTTTTTCTTTTTCTTTTGTCTTTTTCAAAGAAGGAGCCCACCTTTGAAATGTGTATAAAGAAATAAGGCAGCAGGATGCATCTCCATTAATGTAAATTGTCATTAAGGATAATTTAGTGTCCAGGAATGTTAATCATCCACTTTTCTCAAGTAGCAAAATTTTCTAATTAAAACAAAAATAACTAGCATGTTATTTCTTCTTTATGTCATCTTGGAATAAATGTTGAGAAGGAGGTAAGGAGAAAGAGGAAGCCAAGGAGGCACCTTCAATGTTATAATCAGGAGGCTAATGAAGTGTCTTTTAACATATGAACATTAAACAAGAGACTATTGTCCATTACCAAATGAGTACCTAAACTGCCCCTCATCAGGTTCAAACCAATTCCTTATAGGTACTATCTATACTACAACCTATTATAGATCCCATGATTTAGGGACCTTAAAGGTCATCTAGTCCTACCCCTTCAGTTTACAGATGAGGGAAGCTGAGAACCAGGAGTTTGGTCAAGTGACTTGACCAAAGTCACACTGAGCTTATTATTAAGTTATAAAAATAGCAGAGTCAGGATTCAAATCCAAGTCTTATGACTCCAAATCTTGAGCTCTTTTATCATTTTCCCATGGTATATTAAAATTCCCAATTCCAGAATCCATTTAAGAAGTAGTATGTATAGCTTTTTAAACCAACTTTTCAAAATCTCAATGAATATTTGGTATTTCTTTTTTAATGCATCTCTATATCAACAAAATTACAGCTAGCCTGAAGTTTTGTAATAATAGCTTTGGGGACAGGAAGACTTTAAGTACAGAAATTTCCTCTACCGATGAATGAATGAATGAAAAGGCATGTATTAACCCTACTTGTGTTATGCCCTACTAAGTGTTGGGAATACAAGTGCAGAAAAAAAAAAGAAAGAGAGAAAGAGAAATAATCCTTGTCCTCGAGCAGAGTAACATTTTGTATGCAACTTACAGTACTAGAGTTGTCTGAAGCACTGAGAAGTCAAGTGATTTGCATAAGGACCTGGATAGTATGTGTCAAAGGCAGGTCTTACTGGATCTTACTGATTCTAAAGTTGGCCCTTTAGCTACCATATCTCTCTGTTCTCAATGGCATATCCACAGAGTCACTTTGTCTCACTTTGAAATTCAAGTATCAGATGTCATAGTCTTTTTGTTTTGTTTTGTTTTTTAGCATAGAATAGAAAGAAGGAAAGGGATGAGAATGACTTGAGGTATAGGTATACTCAGGGTGAATAAAGGCTGAGGTTTCCTTCCCTCTCATGGCAAGGGTGGGGAGGGTTGGTGTGAGCTAGTAGGTACAGGAAGGGAAGAATAGATGCCCAGAGGTTGGTGTGGGAGATGGGCAGGAGATTTTAGCTGAAACTATACCAGGGCATTCGTAAGAGACTGGGGATCCCTGAGGACTGGGATCCTAATAGGAATAGAAACATGGCCATTCCCTCAGGGAGCTCCCAGTCAGAAACAGTCAAGCACAAGTCTCATTTGGAAAGGCAAAGATCTTTGAGAATTTTCTTGGCATGTAACAGATGGCTCTTGGTAGGTCATGTCTTTTCCTACCCTACAGCTCAAGCAGCACAGTTGCTCGACAGCTGGTGATCTTTAAGAGAGACAGATCAGAAAGAGGAAGGCCCAGCGGCAACCTGTCAACCATTCACCCTAATGAAATTGAAAACGAAAGCAAGCCTGAGAGCTTGAAGGAGGAAGAACTTCAAGAAAGCAGTCTCACCTCAGCAGGGCTGCAGCAACTAATTACCACAGCACTAGAGGAAGACAAGTCTTTGGAACTGGGAACTATTCAGTTTACTGATGGTCAGTCAATAGTTATAGCTGTGGGCTTAGCCTATAGATCAACCATAGAATGCTAGAGCTACAAGGGCCCTAAAAGACCATCTAATCCAACTTCTTCCTTTTATGGATAAGGAAACTGAAGACCAGAGGGGTGAGATGATTTACCCAAGGTCACAAGAAGTTAGGGACCTCCTAGCAACGTCTCATAGATATGATACATGATTAGCAATCACTTGACATTTTCCAGGTTTTATAAGAACTAAGAATCCTTCACCCAGTTCTCCCAACACTTAGCATGGTGGTCTTCCCAAAATCTTCACTCTCATATAATAGAACCTGGAAAATGTCAAGTGATTACTAATCATGTACTGTGTATATGAGATGTTGCTGTAATGAGAACCCCTGAAGCATCTGAGTCAGTAATGGGGACTGAGGAGAGGGGTTCTGATTTGATCTCTCCACCAATGTCTATGAGATTAACATTTGCAGTTTTCATAACTTTATCACCACACCTCATACTTAGATCAGAGATTTAGAACTAGAAGGGACCTCAGAAGTCATCTTTTCCAACACTCTCATCCTACAGATAAGGAAAATGAGGTCCAGAAAAGTTAAGTAACACAGATAATAAGTGGCAGAAGGAAGATTTGAACCTCATTCCTCTGACACCAAATCCAACATACTTGTCATTGTACTATTTGGTCTCTAGCCTACTACTTCCCCTGGACTGTGACCTATTGCTGAGGCAGATGTGAGACCACATTTCCACGGTACTTCTGCCACTCATTTCTACTCAATTTTGGGTCTGTTCCTAAAGAGGAATAACAAGAAACTCTAAGACTACACTTGCAATTCATTCTAGCCCTTGGTCCATCTTGCTATTACAGGAAAAAACCCAGGGAGGCCAACCAATTTCAGAATCCTCCTGCTTCCATGGCTATCATATAGTCCATGGAAGTTCACAGGCATCTCAAATCAGACCCCCTGGAGCACTAGTCTCCACTGATTCAGATGTTTCAGGAAGACCCTCATTAGCATGATCTCACCCCTTGAAATTCTCCTGAACTCAAGCTATCTTAGGTATAGAGCTGAATTGCTAATTAATTTATGGAATTATTAAGTGGAGCATGCATGTCTAATTCTTTGGGTACTTGCCAGGAAATTATAACAGTGGGGAGAAATGTTTTGATCACACTTTAGTAAGACACAAAAGGTGCAGAGGCAAGCAGCACAAAAAGTACAGAGACAAAGTGAGTGACTGGGGGAGGGGTGGTGGTGGTGATGATACAGAGACAGTTGGTTTGATGATAGGGATGGAGTGGTAGAAGAAGACAGGCAGCATGGGAAAGACAGTGCAGAAAGGGAGAGTCACTTATATAACCAGGGATTAGAGTTGGGAGCACTCAGCTACATGGACCCAGATGGAAATGGAGGAGTATTCTGGGTGCAGGAGTTTGGAGTCTCATTTTATAGGAGTTTTGTGGAGAATAGACTTACCTGTGCCACCTTGGGGTTAGTTCCTTGACACATCCGCATCTCCTCAAAGTTATCAGCAATATTTGGTATTCTGGTGGTCTTACTGAGGATTCTGAAGTGTATCTGAGGCTTACATAATGTTAGCAGGTCCAAAAGGCTCTTAACTGGCTTCCTTTGACTTAACATGTATTCTAGGAAAGTGATTTTTAGTAAATAAATATATGATATTATTTGCAAGTAACTGTTACGCTCCTTTGATCTATGGGTCAGTCTCTGCCTTCTTGGTTCACCTTTGCAATATTCCTGCTATTGTTATTTTATACTTGCTGCTCATAAACTTAGTATACAAACTATAAAGGAGGTGAAGTAGTTACAGGGACCAGAACAAGTCACAATTTTAATACAAAAGTCTTGATGCAAAGCAACTGTCTTAATTGTCAAGCATGCCCTATGAAATGGGTATAACAGTGTTAATTGGCTGGACAGCCAAAGAACTCAGTGTTTTTTATTGAAGTCATTGCTATCCCCTCCCTCAAAAAATGAGCAGTCAGTTTAGCAGTGTCTCAGATGTTTCCTCATGGTGTAGACTAGGTGGACATTATATGTCAATCCCCTTTTCCTCTATTAGGTAGCCATAGGTAAAAAAAAAAAAATTATGTCTCCAAGAATAACATTCTGGTGATGAACTTTTTTCTATTAATCTAGGTTAGTACCCAGACAGAAGACACAGTCCACTGCCAATACTACACATCCACCATGTGATACACAGTCATTTGCAGTATACATTTTTCCTTTAGTCCATTTTTTCACTTTATGGATTTTTACCTCTATATAGTAGACATGAGCCACACCTATAAACAGATGAACTAAGGCTTTCATCATGCTGATAGATGCAATTAGGTGGTGAAGTGGATAGAGTTTTGATCTTGGAGTAAGGAAGACCCAAGTCTGAAACCTTAGATATTTACAAGCTGTGTGACCCTTGGCAAGTCACAACATCTTTCAGCTTGTTTCCTCAACTATGAAAGGGGGATAATAATAGCTCCTACCTTACAAGGTTGTTGTGAGGATCAAGTAAAATGCTTTGTAAACCTTCAAGTGCCATATAAATGCTAGCTATTATCATCGTGACTATGTCGAAATGATAAGTGAGGCAGACTCACCTGTCAATCATCCCCTGAGAGAGAGGATCTGTCTGAGCCTGTCCAGAGAACTTGCTGACCCCTTCTTTTGTGTGATTGGAGCTTCCCTAGCAACTCATTCCCTTACAGAGATATGGATTTATTTTTCTAAGCAACTCATTACTCACTCTTTCACAGGGGCATAGCCTCTCTTCAAACCCAACTTGCCAAATGGCTTCTTCCAAGGAAAGGTAAAATGCCTGCCTAAGCTCACTCCCTGAGTAGGGGCTATTTTTTTAAACTAGCGGTGTCTGAGTTTCATATTCTTTTGTCAGACTTGTAATAGTTCAATATAAATGTATCCCCTTATTGGCAAAGAGAATGATGGGAAGTAATTTTCCAAAGCAGGAAAGGTAGATTTGAGAGGCAATCACCCTGTCAGCATATCCAGAGTTGCAGCTCAGCAATCAGAAGTGTCCTCAGCAGACAGGAAGAACAGTCAGAGGATATGGACAGCACTGCTCTGAAGGGGGAGAAGGGGCGGGGAAGGCAGGGTGGAAGAGAGAGCCCCCCCATCATGTATTCCCAAGGAGGTATTCTTCATATTGTCCTGATAATTTCCATCCTGGTTCAGCCAACCCCATGTCTGGAGCAAATTCTTCATCTTCCTAAAACAGGGAATATTTTCGCTTTCCCTTTGGTCTAATTACCTGACCACTGAGTATTAATCCCAGATAGCTTGGGTTATGTTGGCCAATATTTTTTATCACAAGTTAAAACTGTAGAAACTAAAGTGTGCATTTAGAACAAAAGCTAAGGCTTTCTTTGCACAGAGGAAAGAAAGGAAGTTAAAGGGAGTAAATAACCCATGGGAATTTTCAGCTACCTACTGGGAGAGAGGGAGGAGGTAGAGAAATAATGCGCCATCAGTCACTTACCCTCTCTGCTCAGCTCATACTTCTCCAACACTCTGTACTCATAGCTCTTGTTTACAAGGATTTCCTTATTCTTCCTGCTTGCTAGGCTTCCCCATTCTTTTAAGAACTTTCCAGTGGAAAAAGCACTGAATTTAGAGTCAAAGAACATGATTTCCAGCCTGTCTCTCAGTTTTACCATCTGTGTGACCTTGGGCAAGTCATATAACCTTCCTGAGCTTTAGTTTCCTCATCTGTAAAATGAGGACTAGATACCCTGGGAGGGTCTCTTCCAGTTCTAGATCCTCTGATTCTATCCATAGGCCCTTTGTACAAGGGGGAGAGCAGAATACTTGGGAATTCATGTCAACCTTCTCCTTGAATCACAGTCCCTTTCAGGTATGGCCATAGACTACACAGATTTTTGCCTTATGGAAAGTTTTTAGGCAAGGGTTGCACGCACTGTAAGCCTTTCCAATTTGATAGAACCATTCAAAACTTGGGCTCCCCTGGCATAACTTCCAAAAACCCAGAGTTATCTCTGTGTTTCCTACCACAAGATTAGGATTTTCTTGGAGGTGTTCATATAAATACCTATAAATAGGTCTTTCAGGGCTAAATATAGTAAAATTCCTCTAGACCATAAGAGATGAAATTCAGACCCTCACGTTTTCTGTATTGTATTTCTTGTTTCTATTTTCTGGGTGCTCTAGAAAAGTCAGCCAAGCTTTGGTTGCACATGAATCAGTCTAAAGAATTCTTGATCCCAGTTTTTTTCATTCCCCTTAGGTTCATTGATAATTTAGGCCCTTTGGCCTGGCCACCTGGTCTTCATGGCACCTCTTGGATTTGTAACATATAATTAAAGAGCATAAATTTCCACTGTGTAGACTGTTCTTGTTACATAAAAATGTGGTCCTTTCCATTCACATCTGTTTTTCAATTAATCATTTAGATTAATGATAGTTTAGTTTGCATTAGCTTTGTTTCGATTCCTTATATCAGAGTTCTACTGGACTTCAAACATAACTCTGAGAGTTTTACTGCCCTATCCTAATGCTCACTGCCACCAAAATGCATCATGTTTTCCCTCTGCAGAAATTGAAAAACCTCCAGAGAGCTTGGAACATGACATCCAATCAGTAATGACTACTACCCTCACTGAACATTCATTGGTAAGTGACCCCAATTCTTTAAACAAGACGTAAAGTATTTAAAATCTTCTTACCAAAAAATAAAAACAAAAATCACTACCTCACAGAATAAGCAGAGCACTATGACAGAGCACATTTAAGGTCTGATTTTGAATTCAGGTTACTTCAATGTTAGGTTTTAATGCCTGTCATAGCAAAAAAAAAAAAAAAAGATTCCATCTGAAAATATAATTATCCAAATGGAAGAAGTGCCTCATTGGTTGCTCTTACTAAATCATCTTATTTTTCAATCCCATTCACCAATTATGAAATAATTTTATTACAATTTGCTAGTAAATTTATATTTTGCATGATATCAATCAATTGTTCCTGCAAATTAATTAGAATGTTTTGCATTTTTCCTATTTTTAACAAATGTGATTTGATCACAGATATCTCTCAAAACAAAGAATTGTCTAAGTTTGGCTCTGGGCATGAAATGCAATCTTGTTTATAAAATTCATACATATCTTCATTTACTGATGATCTCTCTAGGTCTTTAACTTTAAAATAAAGTATAAGTTAGAGGAACAGATAAGAAGCTTCCAACATGAACCAAAGCAATATTTTTAATATAAACCTTTGTGATAGAGTTTAAAGAAATAAAAGACAAGATTTAGCTGAAAGGAGGTACAAGTAAATTTTAAGTCAGTCAATCAACAGAGCATTTATAGAATGCTTACTACAAGCCAGGCACTAGAATAAGCATTGAGATTACAAAAAAAGGCCAAAAAAAAAAAACGACTCTTAAAAATCACATTCCCTATATCAAAGGACATATGTTCTTTCTTTTTCTTTCTTTCTTTTTTCTTCCTTTCTTTCTTCTTTCCTTCTTCCCTTTCTTCCTCCCTTTCTTTCTTCTTTCCTCCCTTCATTCCTTCCCACTTCATTCCTTCCTTACTTTTTCCTTCCTTTCTTTCTTCCTGCCTTTCTTACTTTTTTTAAAGACTGGGTCTCTCCATCTCAGGAACTCTAGAAAGGCAGGGGCTATTCATGGGTCCAAACCCACCACTGATCTTCATGGAAGCTTGGACCTACTCTGTTTCCAACTTGGGCTGGCTGCTTCTTCCATAGGTAACCCAGAGGCCTCCCCTCACTGCTGCCACACTTAGAGTGGAGACCCGCTCAGCAAAGTTCACTGTAGCTGAGAGCGCCTAAGCTAAAGAGATCTGTCAGCCTCAGCCTCCCTGGCAGCAGGGATTATAGACATGTACCACATCTAGCTAAGAAGCATGCATTCTAATAGAGATGATGGGAATGAAAGTTTATTTAATATCATCTTTACTCTCTCTTTCTAAACCCATTTTCCAGGATGCTACCTTGAATCTTGGGTTTACACCCAAGTCTGAGATAGAAGAAAGATCAGAGCAATATTTATCAAGGGAATTCTCTATTTCCAAGACAGTTGATGAAACTCTTGTGAGTCCTATGAAGTTAACTCCACCAACCCTTCTGACCTATGAGCCATCAGTGTTTCCAGAAGCGCCTGAATCTGGAAAGGAAACTGTAGGAGAGGATGTTTTGACTGAAATAGAAGAGGAGCAAACAACTGGCACCACAGAACTGCCTCTTCTAGCTTTCAGTACTGAGGGTCTATCTGGACAAGGTAAGTCATAAAACCTGCTCATCTGAAAAGTAATCATGACATGTTATCTGCCACAAAAGACAAGTCTTGCAGATCAGGGAGATGGAGCCTGAAATGGGCAAAGCAGTATGAAGAGCTAATGGATTCTATAATGATCTGGATTACACATTAATGAATATCTGTATCATGTCAGCTACTATTTTGAATAAACAGAGATCTTTGGTAGTTTTCTATGCCAATTAACAGTCAGTTGATTCAAACAACGAAGAAATCATGTTATTGCTCAACAAACTCTCATTGGATTTTCTCCATCACTTCGATGCCCCCAGACACTAATGAACTCACCTTTCCACACAGGTCATAAAATCATCCAGGTCTTTTCGATATAAGCTCTTAATATATGTATACATAATATATCTATTTTATTACAAGGACTTACTGTGCTTGTGAAAAAGAGACTTCCAAATCCCACTGACTTTCTAACATCATATAATTTTAAAAATAAATTGCAATTTGAGAACTGAAACTAATTTCAGGAAAATAAAATAATCTGGCCATAACTATAGACATATATATGATTAAAAAGCACATTATGATTATGATTATGATTATGATTATAGTACAGTGCTTGGAGTCAGAGGACCTGGGTTAAGACATACTCTTCAATCCAATGACATTGACCTCCTGGTTCCTCCATGAACAAGACATACCATCTCTTAGTTCAGGGAATTTTTTCTTGCTGTCCACCATGCCTAGAATGCTCTTCCTCCTCAGCTCTGCCTACTGACTTTCCTGACTTCCTTTAAGTCTCACCTAAAATACATGTCTTCCAGGAAGGCTTTTCCAACCTTTTCTTAATTCTAGTGCCTTCCCTCTAATTATTTCCTATTTATCCTCTGTATAGATTGTTTGTATATATTTATTTGCATATTGTTTCCTCCACTAGATCATGAGCTCCTTGAGGACAGAGACTATTTTTTGCCTCTTTTTGTATCTCCAACACTTAGCATAGTGCCTGGCACATAGAAGGTACTTAATAAATGTTGATTGATCGATTAATGCTTACCACCTGTGTACCCTTGGACAAGTAACAACCTCACTGGGCCTCAGTTTCTTCATTTGTAAAATGAGGGAGGTGAACTAGATGATTTCTGAGGTCCCACCCAACCCCAGTTCTATCTTGTGATCCTATGCAGGTTCATAGACTTGTAGCTGAAATGGGCCACAAAGATCACTCATTTTACAGGTAAGGAAACTGAAGCCTGAATAGGTTAAGTGACTCACCCAAAGTTACAGAGCAAAAAATCAAACCCAGGCCCCAGGACTCCAGAGCCATCATGCTTCCATTGTCCTGTGCTGCTTCAAAGGGAACAGTCATGAAGTTTGGAGAACATAGCCTGAAAGAAAACTGTCACATTTTGATTCTAGTCTCAATCTCTGTTCCACATTTGTAAATTCATAGATGTCAGGAACTCTTTTCCCTAATGGAGAGCGCTAATTAGTTCATAATATATTGGCTCAGTAGATAGAGCACTGGGTCTGAAGTTAAGAAGACTTGAGTTCGAATCCAGCTTCAGGTACTTATTAGCTGTATGACTCTTAGCAAGTAACTTAACCATGTTTGCCTCAGTTTCCTCATCTGTAAAATGAGTTGGAGAGGGAAATGGCAAACCACTCCAGTATCTTCGCCAAGAAAACCACTCCAGTATCTTTGCCGACTTAACAACAACAAATATCTTAGAGGGCTGTCTGAAGCATTGAGAAAGTAAACAACTTGCCTCTGGTCATGCATGTAGCAGAAGCAGGATTTGAACTCAGATCTTTCTGACCATGCAGCAGATCTTCTACCCATCATGCTTCTGTGCCTCTTATTTAAGATGGTAGCAATAATGGAGATAGAAAAATGATTTTACTTTTTTTAAAAAAAATTTTGTTGTCTATAAGTCCCATAATATCCAGATATGTTAATATTGTCTGACACTGTGAGTTCTAGGGGACAGATGTTCTGCCCAAAGGTAAATGAAGTCCTAGAGAGGAGGAATTCTGAGATGTTGTCCTGAGTCATGCTAGGTTTCTAGTTAATGTAGCAGTTTCAGGAAGGAGCAGGGAAAGGGGAGGAAGGAATGATGGTAATTAGTGCTCACTAAGAAACCAGAAATTCTAGGCACGTGTAAAATCACAAAAGAACCTCACAGCAGAGAATTATTCAAGTGTGTGCTGGAGCCAGCTTGTACCAGTTTGTGAGAGCTGATTGTTAAATTTCAGTGTCATCATTTAGCCCTTGGAAACCAGGAAACACTATAAATCAGGGCTTGATTTATTGGGTTTTTTTATTGCCTAGACTTAAGAAAGTAATAGAGAACATATTAATAATGCATATTAAATTAAAAAGTATATTCTATTTTTGGAGAGTCAATTATTAAACATTTACCAGCATTCCACTAGATAGATGGATAAGTAAGTGAATAAATGAATGAATGAATGAATGAAAATATTCATTAAGGGCTTATCATGTGCTAGGCACTGTGCTAAGCAATGATGATTAAAATACAGAAATTACAAATCTAGGTTTCAGAATTGGAAGACACCTCACAGGCCTTCTATTCCGACCTCTTCATTTTACAGATGAGAAAATTGAGGCTCAAGGAGGTTAAGTGACTTGTAGAAGATGGGATTTTAGCTGGGACTTAAAGTGAACCCCAAAATAAGAAGTGGAAAGGTGAGAAGAGATGGAAGATAGATGGCAAAATATCTAGATGACTGGAAAAGATGTGAAGTGTGTTCTGGTTAGATAAAATGGGCTAATTGAACTTGTTCTAGCTCACTCACCAGTCAAGACCATTGAGCTCCAAAGTAGGAATTCCAAAACTGAAGGGATTATCTTCCCCAAAGACTAGGACACTTGTTTTCTGGCACCTAGGCCAAAGGAACTGATCCAGATATAAAGAAGCCAGGGCAGGGCAGATAGTAAGAGGAAATCACCTCAGGAACCACTGAGATGAGTCAAAAGTCTAAAGTCAAAATATGATAAACCGGGTAGTCAAATGGAGGGACCAAATACAAAACAAATGGGCCAGAAGAAAGGGTAATCTCAATGATATAGACTACTGTAAGCTGCCTTGACTGAATGTAGTTTTTATTTGCACCCCACTCTCCCAATCACCTTTCCCTTATATTGGATAGGGCTTGGGGTATAATGAGCAATGGAAGGCAGGTGGGGAAACAGTAGCATGTTTTAAGCCTTTACTATACTCTGAGAGGAATTCACCAATGGAAGAAGGAGCCAAAGGAATGGAGGGATTTTCCAGGGTGAGAAGGCAACTGGTATCTCGTAGTAAAATCCAAAGAGTCAAAAGCAGAGCCAGAAAGAGCTATGTGACCTAATCCTTACAGCAGACACCATGTCAGTCTTAGATTTTATACCACACCTAGAACAACGCCATATGCAAGCAAGTATTTAATGCTTTTTGTTGATGATGATTAAAGAACTATAGACATCTATCGTTGAGCTTTCAAACAAGTCTTCTGGACTTGGAGTTAGAGAACCTGTATTCAAATCCCAGAACTGCAGCTTACTACGTGATCATAGGAAAGCCATCAGTCTCTCTTGTCTTGACTTTGCTCATTTATAAAATAGAGAGATGGACCAGATGATCCTAAGCTTCCTTCAATCATTAAGTTATGATCCTATGATCTGTCCCCTCCATTCAGTCTTTCATGATCCTCCAGATCTTCCTTATGCACTGAGCTGGTCATGTTATGCTTCTGCTCAAAAATAATAAAGGATTCCTTATTGCTTATTGAGTAAAGTACAAGATCATTATCCCAACTTTCAAGACCCTCCACAACCTGGTAAATTTCCATCCTTATATTACTCCCTTCTATATACACAACCAAATTGGATTGCTTTCCTTCCTCTAACACATATTGCATTCTCTTTATTCATGTTACTGGATAGTTGAAGAACATTGCCTTCCCCTCAACTCCCTTTGCCTATTGAATTTCTACCCATCTTTTAAAACTCAACTCAATTTTCACCTCCAAGAAGATTCCCTGATCCTCCCATTACTATCTTCCCCTCAGACTTTCATATGGCATGTCCTTTTGCAACTCTCTAAAGCACTTATCACTTATTGTATATGATGATTATCTGCATATATCAACCAAGCAATAGGCATTTATTAAGAGCCTTCTATGTGACAGGCCCTGGGGATAAGAAGACAAAAAAAGAAAGAAAGGTCCCTCCCATTAATTACATTGTCTCCAGATTAATTCTATTCCCTTATTAGACTGGAAGCTTCATGAGTTCAAGGGCCATATTTCATCTAAACTTTTTTTATCTAGTAACTATTTCAACATATTACATACAATAGGCACCTCATAAGTGTTTCTTGAATGAACAAAGGAAAGAATAAGGGAATGAATGAACTGTAGCTAACATATTAAATACCGCATGAAAGTTCAGGTTTGATGAATAACAATTGGAGTATAAAAATTAAATACGTGTTATAACTGGAGATGCTGTCATACTACCTAAAATATATGCATCATAACTATCAGTAAAACCTAGAATTTATTTAAATAAGTCCAAACAATGACAAGGGTCAAGATTAAGGGATTATCAATAAGATTTTGGAAAATTTACAAGAGAAATTCAGTTGACCTGGGTAAGAACTGATAATTATGGCTGAGCTAACATGCCTTCCTTTCTCAGGTTTCCCATTCAAGAGCCAGGGGAAGAGTTCTGACAACAGGAAAATTGTTCTATTGGCTTGCTGGTTATTAAATATATAGAAACTGGCCAAGGAAGTCCATGAAGAAGAAATTTAGCTACATGATGAAGGGGATAGTCCTTTGGTTGGGAAAGCATAGCCTGAAAGACTTCCTATTAAATTTTAATCCTAGCCACAGTTCCTGCTTGGGCACAGTATTTTTATTTTTAGTTGGAGAACCTGACCAGGAATTTCTTGGATGTAGGGAGCTCCTGGTGAGGCACTTCCTCCACCAAGGCAGATCAGAGC